CTTGGGATCCTATCACCAAATGTCTGGAACTTCTGTTTGATGCCACATTGTGGTTCATTATCAGCAACTCATTCTTATCAGGCACATGAAGATGTGAGCTCATGACCCTTGGTGACTGGTGACTGCAGGTTGATATGGTGTCCAACTTAGAACATTGACTTTCTGTCCGATATTCATTCATTTGGAATGAAATGCAGGCAAGCCCATGGACAGTTAAGATTTGCAGTGAAAAATCAAATGTCTGAAATATATTTCCACCCTTTGATTTCCTTGTTGATAATTTAGAGCCCCATTTAACCCTGGCTTTTAAAAGTCATTTCATTTCTCATGCATGACGGAAGTAGGGAAGAAGCAAGTTTTGTTTGGCAAATGTTTTAATTTAAATACATAAAAATAGAAATATAGCATGTGTACTCATCTCTAATATGCATGATCTATAAATAGTGGGGGAAAGTCTCTTGTTGCTATAGTAACTAGGGATTTCTTTGGGCATGTCTATTTTTGTGCTATATCGAGGTACAGAGGCAGTTTTCTAGTGGGTTTCCTACTGTGAAGGTATTCTACCAAAGAGTTCATAACTCCCACCTCACCTCCTGCTGCTCAGAAGGTGGTGGGTGTCAGGCATGGCTTTACCATTTGTTCTTGCTTAGTCAAGTACCTGGGCTGTATGGCTGTGGCCATCATAAACAGTATACAAAGATGCCTCTGAGTCTTTCCACTGGCACATTGTTAGGACCTATGAGAAGTGACTGGGGATAAGAATAAGTGCTCCAAGCTGAGCGGTGGTGGCGCAGGCCTTTAATCCCAGCACTCGGTAGGCAGGGGCAGGTGGATCTCTGTGAGTTCAAGGCCAGCCTTGTCTACAAAGCAAGTTCCAGGACAAAGAAACCCTGTCTTGAAAACAAATAAATAAAACAATAAGAACAACAACAACTGTGCTTCTGTACAGAAGTTTCTTAGGAAACATTTCTACACTATCCCTACTCTCTTCCCTTTTCTGTCTCCTTTCATCCTGTCTCCTCTCCCCCACTCTTCCTTCTCCCTTCCTCTCCTTCTCTTCCCTTTCCTCCCTCTCTCCCTCCCTTCTCTCTGTCTGTCTCTGTCTGTCTGTCTGTCTGTCTGTCTGTCTGTCTGTCTGTCTCTCTCTCTCTCTCTCTCTCTCTCTCTCTCTCTCTCTCTCTCTCTCTCGTCACCCCCCATGCCCTAGCAGGTGATAGTGTATCACAGATGTCTCCTCACAAGGGTGTTCCTTGGACTTCCTGTTGTAAGGAGCACATCTGCCTTTAGTGAATGGCCTCCTCTCAGGTATTCCATTACAGCAGTACAACACAGAGTGAGAGAAAGGCAATAACAAAGTGGAATGAAAATGCTTCACGGGGAAGGTCACTGCACAGTGGCTTCTGCCCCGTGACACTCACGAACACTGGAAACAAAAGGCCAATTGGGAAATGTTGAGGACTATTTGCTGTGAGGCCAACAATGTGGAGGATCTCCTGTGGCATCCTTCCTCTTCTTTTTCAGTAGAATTCCTAACAAAGCTGACCATGTCATCAGAAATGGGGAGATTTTGATCTACTCATGATTTAGCTTTTGTGGAGTCTTCTAAAATGGTCTGTGGAGGTATTTCTTCCTTCTAATGCACACTAAACAGTTCCTGTATGAGAGGCCTGCAGCCAGCCCCTAAGCTGATAACCAGAGCAGCGCTATGAGTTGAGAGGTCCTGCCTGGTTCTTCTTCTACTTCTGGTGGAGTTTCCTGCAGGGGCCTACCTCGTTCTCCCAGCAGTTTCAGAGGCTTTGCAGAGAAATACCTTAAAGGCTAATTTGTTGGTGCTAAGAAGTGTGTGTCCCTCTGCTCTTCTCTGTGAGAAGTGGTTACATGCAACGCTGTCCCCTGCTGTGCCTGTGTGCTGAAGGTGGGCTGGCCAGTAGATTTCTATGGGGCAGAAATCCCAGGTATGACTACAGTGCAGTCAGGAGTACAAAGTTGAGGTGTACGACCCCCAACTCATTGAGCTAAAGAGTGCCAGGGAGGGGATCCTGGCAGCACAAATTTATGAGGTTACTAATGTTCCAAAAACAATACGCTATGAGTTCCTCAGGCTGGCGCCCTGCACAACTGGGAATGGAGTCCTGTGTCTGTTACAAACTCTCTTCCTGAACTCGGGGGTGGACTCAGTGGCATCAACTATCCCTCCAGCTGGCAGCTGCAGGTTCTGGACACACCTGTATTCCAGATGCTGCTGTGTCCCATTGACTTCCTCAGCTCTACCATCAGACTCTCAGAATGGAGAGGCCCTTAGAAACTCCAGGGTAGAGCCTGTGGGTAGCCAGGATTCCCTATCTGAACTCAGGGGTCACTGAATACAGTCTTAAAAAGCCAAGCATTCTGTGTTCTCACTGATAGATGAGTCCTCAGAAGATCCTATTTCCTGTATGCACACCGTCCTGAGGTTTCCTTCCTCCTGCCATGTGCTGGTGGTGCTGCTATGCTTTGCTTTCCTTCTTCCAGGCCACCTGCAGGGTCCACTTCCATGGATGTCTCTCGGTCTCTTGTCCTGCTTCACCCTTGGTCACTAGGTCCAAAACCCAGACAGCTGCATAGGACTTACTCCTAATGAAATGAATTCAGCATTTCAGCTACCTCCCAAACCACGTGTGTATTAGATCCTTCCCAAAGCTCACTTGATACAAAATGATTCTAGAGAAAGTTCTAGAGTCATTGGGTCCAACTGGCAGATGGAGAATGTCCATTAGGACTGAGATCGAAACTAAGAAGGCACAGAAGAAAGAACTGAATTCCCAGTCTTGTGCCCAGCATGCCATTGTAAGCTGTGGAGTCAGCTTGCACAAACTTTAGGCCTGGGTCCCCATGGTTCTTGCTTTATTATAGACCTGGAGGTTGGGATATTGGAGGCTGGAGGGGGGGTAGGAGTGTGAGAAATCAGCATGAATGGAAAGGAGAAGCTCGACCCTGTCTGTCTTAGGCGCATCTACTAAGTGTCTCAGCTTGGTTGTGGGATCTGAGATCCATCTATAGTCCATCGAAGGCTGGATTCTGCTGGCATGTACCAGCTTGTGGGGAATGGTGCTGCTAGGAACTTGTCACAGCTGGTGGCACCCGAGAGACCACCCTAGTGGTTCTGACCCGGAGATGGAGTCAGGTTACTGGTACTTCATAAATGACTCTTCCCCAGAATAGTGACAGTCCCCACATGCCCAGTCTTGTAGAATCTTCACCTTAGGGCTCTGCAGGTTATCTGTCTCCTAGACCCAGGAATGGACTGTCTGCTGTCCTGTTTTCTCCTCTTCCTATATTAGCTCCTTCCTAGTAGCATCATACACAAAGACAGTAGTCAGTAGAGACCAAGAACCAAAGCAGCAACTGATCCCACATAACTGGGGGTACAGTAACAAGGGAACTTCTAAGAGTTGGCTCTGATCCAAGTTGCAGAGAGCAATCCACAGAAGAGCCACAGGTAGCTGTGCACCCCTCCCCCCAGGAAATTTAAAAGATAACATGTCTACCCAATTAGAACAGGCTACTATTTCAGAGTGGCTAGGATAGGCTTCCTTTAGTCTCATTTGACAGAGGTTTACGTGCAGATGAAAGAGAAATATTTCCCAGAGAAACAAGGACACCAGAACATGCTTTGACCACAGCCTATGAGGCAAGGTGCTAGGCAGAGGTGGTTTTTTTGTTTGTTGGTTTTTTGTGCATCCTTCCTTGAGCTGTGAGCCAAGGCAATGAAATGGAAAGTTGGCTGTGTTGGCCGAGTTCAGGCTGCTCTGACTGACTTCTCAGAGGACTGAATATAGAGTTTCGTTCCATATGTGACTGACTCCCTGAAGCATCATTTCCTCAGTCTACTGACATTCACTTAGAGCTGCTCCATCCTTAACCTGTATCCATCCGCAGGCAGCTCTCAGAGCCTGTCAGTGTTGGCTCCAAGCTCTGTAACTTCCATTTCCCCATGGGCTGATCCTTCCGTCCTCAGCAATGGTGCTGTGTCTTCTCAGGAAGAGTTCCAATCTGCACTCTGAAGGGGTTGTGCCTTCTCTCACGCTTGTAACTTTACCCTGCAATGCCCGGAGCTCCGTGCCCTCACTTGGTACTCTGTTCCTCATAGAACCCCGCCCACATTTGCCATGTGTTTGTCTGAGGGAAACACTCTGACCTGAGAGGATTCTCTTCTTGTTTAACCTGCCTATTTGCATTAGGGATGCTCACTGGGTTGGGCTCAGTTCGAGCATCTAACAGGCATCTTAAATTTAATTTGCTTAAAGCCAAAATACTGATTGCCTAAATCCTGACAATCAAAGCATATTCGTTCTCTCAGTCTCCCACCTAAACGTCGCACAGCTCTAAATCCCACCAGCCTTTCCTCTTCTGAGAACAGATTAAGAGCTCTTCATAAACGAAAGGGAAGAAGTAACAGAAAATAAACAAATGTATCTATGCTTTTGTCTAGCAACAAAGGCACAGGAGTAAAATGGACCAGTTCAATTGAGTTTATGAGTCACCTTTGCTTTGAGGTGATAGGAATGTTCTAGACCAGTGGTTCTCAACCTTGCTAATGTTACAACCCTTTAATGCAGTTCCTCATTTTGTGGTGGCCCCCAAGCGTAGAATTACTTTTAGTGCTGTTTCATAACTGTAATTTTGAGACTGTTATGAATTGTCATGTAAATGTTTGTGGTTTCCAATAGACTTAGGTGATAGCTCTGAAAAGGTCATTTGACCCCCCAAAGGAGTCGTGATCCACAGGTTAGGATCCACTGTTCTAGAAGGTATTTCAGTGTGTCACAAGGAAGATCTTGTGTTTGTGTTGCATATATATATATATATATATATATATATATATATATATGGATATACAATATACAGGAGGTTCTTTGGTACATCCAGAAGTGGGGTTCCTAGGGAACTCATGGCTACAAAGTTGTGCTTAGTGAAACTTGATTCTTCCCCTTGCGGGTGTGTGCTGGTATTGTACTTACCTTCAGCTGTTCATTCTCAGCCACTGTGCCTTCCCTCTGACTCGTGGACAGTCAGGATGTCCACCCAGGAGCATTCTCAGGTTGCTATGGTTACCATTATAGCACCCCCTTGCTACTGTAAAGAGCAATGAGAAGATTCTCAGAGCACATTGTTCAGTCATCCCCAGGTCTCTTAAGGAGGACTGCGTTCTTGGTGTTTGTCTCTAACACCTTGTCTGTGGAAGTCTTAACTCACAAGGTGGTTGTGTGAAGAAGGCTATTCACTGCTTCAGGCTGGGGATTAGTGTCCTTAGTAAGGGATTCATAGCCAGGCAGGGTGCCTTCCATTTATCAACCCAGCACTCGGGAGACTGAGGCAGGGGGATTGCCATGAGTTTGTGACTAGACTGGTTTGCATGGTGAGTTCCAGAAGGGTCTGGGTTATGGAGTGAGACCCTGTAACAAAACAAGGAGAAAGTAGAAGGAAACCACAGAAAGCCCCTTGGCCTCCAACTTCCAGAGTGTATGGGAAGGTATTTATTGTATTTTGAATGAGAGTGGTCCACATAGCCTCATATATTTGAATACTTGGCCCCTAGTTGGTAAAACTGTTTGGAAAGGATTAGGAGGTGTGGCCTTGTTGGAAGAGGTGGATTCTTGGAGGTGGGCTTTGAGATCTCAAATGCCCACGCTATTCCCAGTTAGCTCTCTCTGTCTCTCCCATGTAGATGAGGATGTAAGCTCTCAACTTCTGCTCAAGTGCCCTGCCTGCCTGCCTGCCTGCCTGCCTGCCTGCTTGCTGGAACTTACAGAATTGGAAGAGGAAGTTCTGATACTGAAGTCCCTAGTCTGAAGCATACTTCCAGAGTGACCAGAACTTAGCAGGGAGGCAATTAGGAAAGAGGCAGTCTCAGCACTGGAGTTCTAGATAGACAGATCTGGGCCTTCTGTGGCACTGGGAAAAGAACCACCCCTGCAGAAAGTGCTTACTGCTGGCAAAGAGTGAGAACCCTGTCACGCAGGTGACCCAGATAAGTAGGGACATCATGGCTCCATGTCTGTGTATACAGTTCTTAACACAGTTAAAACTAAAAGCATGTTGATTTTAGAGAATGGCCAGGGATCAATTTTAAAAAAGTGTAAGGTGATCTCATCATTGTTGTAGAAGGTAGAGTTTAAAAGTCCTTTCGGTTCTTCTTATTCATTGGGAAAGGAACTCCCTCGTCTTTTCATTTGAGAAGGCAATATTTCACACAGAATTAAGTTCCTAGTTCCCAATTTAAAAAAGCTCTATTTCTAGCAACTCGAGTTAGCATCTCAATTTGAAACTGTTTAACCTTGCTTGGATTGGTGTTGGTATGCAGCTAGAGAATGGGTGTATTGGAAGGACTAGTATGCAATAAAAATATGCAATGAAGGAACATTGGTTTCAATACTGTTTCTCAGTACTGTCTCTGGTTCTTTGTTTTTGGGGTTTTTGGGGGGTTATAGCTAGAATTTGGAATGGTGAAGTAGGAATAATGCCTGAGAAACTTAATTTCCAAAGGAATGGATGTTCTTACATGGAAAGACGAAAAGTGCTGAGTTTTTTACTTTTCTACTTTTTAATTTCCTTTGTAAGTTTGTTTCTTCCAAGTAATGATTCTTTCCTCATGATTAATAAAGCCAAAGAGATCTTTGTAACTATGCAAAGCAACTGAAGAATTTTTATATGACACATATATATGGATGGTATTTTATAAACATTTTAAAGCTCCCAGGAAATAGAAAAACAGACTAAGAATATTGAGACAACAAAAGAGGAGAGAGAAGAGGGAGAGGGAGGTTGGGAGGGAGTTGAGGAGGAAGGTTAGAAGGGCGATGGAAAGAGGAAAGGGGGAGGGAGGGGCAGGGAAGGAGGGATGGAGTACAAAGCCAGCACCAGCCCTCTGTTGAGCAGTGCACTGTAGCATTAGTCCATTAGAACAAGGCTGTGGGGTCTGATCTCTTCAGAGATAGGCAAGGCTTCCCCACGGTTCATGAAGATGTTAAAATTTACCAGTATGTGAACATTACTCAACCATAAGCCAAAATGTAGCCACGAAAGCCACTTGATTCTTTGGGATCTAAGTTGATAAACTGACTCACACTGCCATGAGGACTGGGCTTGCCTGGTCTTTTCACTTTGTGAAAGAAGGAACTAGGTATAGTGTGCTTCTGGGTGTCTCCTCAGGGAGGCAAAGCAGAGCAGTTGAAAGACAGTGCTTACCTCCGAGTGTCTATGTTGATTACTGTGCAGGGGGCTGACTGTGTTTGCCCAGCAGGGTCTCTGGCACAGGTCTCGGTCATGTGTGAGCCCTCATCTGTCTCATAGGAATCCTTGAAGAGGGTTAGGGCCTTGAAGGCATGGGTGCAGGGAGCAGGGAGCAGGAAGAGAAGGTCTGCAAAGCCCTCGCCCTGGAGAACAGCAACATTTAGAATACAGCAAGTGGAGACTGACAGGGTGGGGCCAAGATGGACCTAGCATACATGGAGGAATCAGGAAGAAGTGCAAGGTAAGGCGACTGTGAGGTCAGAGGAATGGGGGTGATTGCCTTCACAACTAGGCAAGGTCTTTATCCCACACAGAGTACCCTAGCATGCCAGTGAGACTGTCGGTTCAGGATTCCCATGGATTCCTTCTGATGCCTTTCACTGGGTCCAACTATCTCACAGGATGCTGCTTGGAACTCATTTCCAACTGTCATTCGTGTCATAATTGTTCCTTTGAATTCTCCCTCATCCTACTAGTCTTTCAGGGTATGGTAGTGTTCACCACAAGGTATCTTTGTTTCTCCAGTATACTTTACCACACGGGTAGGAATCAGATAAGTGGATATCAGAAAACTCATACACTCAATAGGTTGATAGGCTTAAGTTTAAAATAAGACAATTTAGTGTTGAAGTTGTTTTCATAATTAGATTCATCTAATTCTCACTTATCAGCATGAAGTTATCTGTTTTAAATGTTCAGGGAGATTTGTTCTTTCTTGTTTCCCTAATCCTTAGAGTGATCTGGACTTCAGGTGACAGGCCTGATGAGTGCTACTTAAAACAGACATGGAGGATTTAAGAAAAACTCACCCATCTCAAGGTTTACAAGCATTGCAGATTAATGGATATTTTAATCATGAGAGCTCTTTTTTGTGTGTGTTATTTATTTTAACATTTTGAGATAGCGTGGAAAATTTGGCCTTTTTTGTAATTTTTTTAAATTGAAAGTAGATTCTTCTCCCATTCAATACATACTTAGTACAATTTCCCCTTCCCCTACTCCTCCCAGCACCCCCATCTCCCCCTGTTTCCCTCCAGAAAAGAGACAACAACCAAACAGGATACAAATTGGGTTTAAAAAATTTGGAGGGAGCCTGGTGAGATGATTCAGTGGTTAAGAACAGTAACTACTCTTTCAGAGGACCTGGGTTCGATTCTCAGCACCAACATGGCAGCTCACAACTGTCTGTAACTCCAGTGCCAGGGGATCTGGCAACTTCACACCAATGCACACAAAATAAAGCTAAGTAAAATTAAAAAAAATTAGTGTATCTATTTTATATCCAACTTCAGATACAAACATGTGTTGAGAATGGCTTTTCTCACAACTTTAGAGCAAGGAGGTCTGTGACTGATGTCACCTGGGCCACACTCCATCATGGCCCTGAGCCAGCTCCTGAGTGTCCTGTGCAAAGACATGGCTGGGATGGTTTTGCAAGTTGACAAGGGAGACATTGCCTTTATTATGGGAATCCTGGCGTGGACTCTGTATTTCTAACTCCCAGATCACACTCTGGGATCTGGGGGATGGATACTCGGATAGTGTCCAAACTAAATGAACATCCAGCCTCCGCCTCCCATTGCCAAACAGGAGCCAGTACAGGCTTCTGGAATGTTGGGGGTGCTGAGATAACTTTTCATAGAAGTTCAGGATCTCTGAAAGCCCAGTAATGCCTACACACCTCAGTATCTACCCCAAACACAGGGTTCAGAAGAAGATCTTATTTTGAATTCTGAACATCTTGGCTCACTGCAGCTTTCCAATACCCAAAAAAGAAATGTCCCAGTGCAATCAGGAAAAATGTATGCATGCTTGAATGTCTGCCTCTTCAGACCACATGCTGTGTCTGAACAAGCGCCCTGATTTCATGTAAATAAACGGTTTAATGGGCTTTATTTTACTTTGTATCATAAATAGAAAGAGATTCAGAAAGCAAAGAAAGACAGCAGGAGATCTGGGTTCCCTGAAAAATACAGTGTCAGGACCCCAGGAGGGCCTGCTCAGTCCTACAGAGAAGTGACAAATGAAATGACAAGGCAAGGAGGAGAAACTCTTGCATAGCTCAGGTGGGGGTGGGGGGTTAAAAGAAAGTTGGAAATATGACAGTTTTATTTTTTAAAAAATGTGGATAAGTTATTGCATTCATTTAAATTCATGTCAAATGGACGCTAGAAATAGGCTGGGACAATGCTCCCAGAGCATCCTTTGTTCCCATTCCGTGCTGACAGTCTTCTTAATGTGTCCCATAGAATACCTGATGCTCTATGACTTTTTGTGTGACTCTTGAGCCAATCATAGATCTATCAAGTCAACCAATGGGTATTCTCCTTCCTACATTGATCTTTACTCTCCAGGAAGGTGAACTTTATAGGGCACTTGGTCCAGGAGCGATGTGACAATGATGGAAAGCTTGGAGATGAGTGTATATGTGGGTGTTTGTGTCCAGCTTGTTGAGGCTGCCCGAGCTCAGGCTTTCATCCTAACTATCCAAGATCATCATAACCCCTGGAGCTTCCCTGATTCTCTTACACAACTTGTTGTAAGATCATCTTCTGCTTCTAGACCACTCTGAGTTACTTTTGCAGAGAGACTCTGATTGATTTTAATAGGAAAGTATATTTGCATGTAAACCCGAAAGCTTGGTTGCATGTATGGCTACTAAGTTGTCATTGGTGCTAGGCTGTGTCAAGTAGCAGAGTGTGATGCATGCATGGTGTTGATATTGCTCTCCTATACACTTGTCATCAGTGGATGTCAATCGTCTGTGTATGACCTATCTATCTATCTATCTATCTATCTA